GATCCAAAAAATGAGAAAAGGAAACAAATAAACAAACCAACAAATGAGCAATTAATATCCATATCATAGGAGTCCCAGAAGAAGAGCAGGAAAAAGGGGCAGAAGGTTTATTTGAACAAATTATAGCTTCTCCCTCTCCTCCCTGCTCCTGCTCTTTGGCTCTGTTTCTGTCTCTCTCTCAAATGAATAAAAAAAATGAGCCTGATTCCAAAGAGAAAAAGAAAAAATATGAGCCTGATTCCAAAGAGAAAAAGAAAAAAAGAAAAGAAAAAATAAAAAACCAGTTCCACCAGAACTGAAGCTGAGACTTTGGGGCACTCTGTGATTGGTAGACCTGGTACATGAGGGGGGGCTGTGTTGGTCTTCTGAGGGAGGGGCCCGCTGCTCTGTCTCACAGTCAGAACTGCCCTTGTAAAGATGCCCTTGCCAGGCATAGGGGGCCAGGGTTTGGTGTAAGGGACTTCAGCCTCCACTGGAGGTGCTGTGTTTCCCTCTGAAGTCTGACAGGGTGTGTCTTTGGGGGGTGGAAGATGGTGTCACCCCGCCCTCTCATCTCCAGGGAGGGGTACTCACAGCCTCCCTGTTTAGGCAGCCCTCACAGAAAAGAGAACAATCTCCTTTCCTCTGCCCCAGGCTTTCATCAGATCCATGCCCTCAATCTGTCTGTGTCCGGTCATGGGCACGCCTGGCACCACAGTTCTATGTTTTATCTTTGGCCCATGGCTGGGTTTTAAAACTCCATATCTTAAAGGGCATGGCAAGGTGTGGACCTGTTCCCTCCCCTGGAGAAGAGCCTCACAGCATTGTGCCCAGCACTGTTCTGTCCCAGAAGAGCAGTTGCCTAGGCTGTACAGATGCCTGGAGTCTATGGTGATGCACAGGGAAAAGCTATGACCAGTTTATCAGCCCTCTGCCCGCACCTCTGTCCCCTGCTGTTGAACTGCTGCTCTGTGGCGCCTGGTGGGCCTTTTGTCCTTAGAGAGGCAAAAGCCCTCTTCCAGGGGCCCCTGGGTGGCTCAGTCAGTTAGCGTCTGCCTTCGGCTCAGGTTGTGATTCTGGGGTCCTGGGATCCAGCCCCACATCGGGCTCCCTGCTCCGTGGGGAGCCTGCTTCTCCCTCTCCTCCCAGCTCCTGCTCTTTGGCTCTGTTTCTGTCTCTCTCTCAAATGAATAAAAAAAATCTTAAAAAAAAAGCCCTCTTCCAAATGTACTCTGGGAAGGGGAGCTTTCTCTCCCAGTGCCACCCAGGGGATTTGCACACCACGACGTCTTGCAAAGACCCTCCCGCTACTCTCTCCCTCCCTTCCCAACTTTGTTCTAAGAAGAGTGCTCCCTCTTCTCTGTGGCACCGCAGCTTTTTTCTCCCCCAATTCGTGGCTCTGAAACTCACATCTGCCATGTCCTCTCCCTCCAATTGTGCAGATTGTTTCCTTAATCCTCAGATTGATTTCCTAGGTGTTCAAAATGATTTGATGTTGAGCTAGCTGTGTTCCAGGGAGGAGGAAGCCCAGGGTACCCCTACGACTCCACCATCTTAAGTCCTCCTAGAAATTTAAGTATTTTCTCTCATTTAGTTAATAGAATGTGAGGTTTCTGATGGCAAAGATTATGTATCTTAGTATCTTTCTTCTCTCAAGGCACTAGGCATTCATTGTTTACCTCTGGTAAATACCTACTTATAAATTCAGAATTATTTGGAATGACATGGTGGCTATTGACTCTAGTATTGCACAAATTAAAAAAAATCACAAATGTTCTTAGCCTTGTATCTGTGACTGAAAAACTAATACAATAATTAATATGTGTGAAATGTGCCAACGTTAGCATGCTACAGTGGGTTTACTTGCAATATGTTTCTGCAATGAGTTTCTTCTTTCTTGTAGGACATTTTTTTTAGAGATTTTATTTATTTATATGAGAGAGAGAGAATGAGAGATAGAGAGCACAAGAGGGAAGAGGGTCAGAGGGAGAAGCAGACTCCCTGCTGAGCAGGGAGCCCGATGTGGGACTCGATCCCGGGACTCCAGGATCATGACCTGAGCTGAAGGTAGTCACCTAACCAACTGAGCCACACAGGCACCCTCTTGTAGGACATTTTTAAAGCTGGAGATACTAATGAGGATTCAAGATTGGACTTTGGAGAATTTTTGCAGTACCTTAAAGACCACGAGAAAAAAATGAGGCTGGCATTTAATAGTCTGGACAAAAATAGTGATGATGTGTGTTTGTGTTTTATTACAATTAGCTTAACATGAATAATAGTCAGTACTAAAGGACATTGTTTTATCAGCCTTTAACTTCCTCATACCATCAGAGATTCAGTTATTTCTATTGCATGTCTAGTAGGAGAGTATTATATAAACTATATTTATTATTGTTATAATTTTTGTGTGGCTACTATATTTTTAAAGATTTAATTCATTTATTTGAGAGAGAGAGAGAGAGCACAAACAGGGGGAGGGGCAGAGGGAGAAGAGAAGCAGACTCCCCACTGAGCAGGGAGCCTGATGCAGGGCTCCATCCCAGGACCTCGGGATCACAACCCATGCTGAAGGCAGATGCTTAACTGACTGAGTCACCCAGGCACCCCTGGTTACTATTTTTTAAATAAAGTAATTTGTCCTCTGAATTTAAAGCTTCTTGGCTTAGGGAGTAGGCCTCTCCACTCTTTTGTAATGTATGAGCTGAAAGTATCATGGTAATTTAAAAAAATGCCATTGTTTACTTGCTGATTTTGAAAATATTTTGGTTGCAGGAAAGTTAGATAACACAAAGACCTTAAAAGAAAGTAAAAGTTACTTGTAACCCTGCTGTCTGGAGATCAGGTTTAACATTTTAATATATTTTTATAGTTTCTTCTAGACTTTTTATTTCTTTCTTTCTTGGTTTCTCTTTCTCTCTCTTTTTTTTTAAGCATACACTTTTTTAAAAAAAGATTTTATTTATTAATCAGAGAAAGAGAGAGAGAGAGAGAGCACAAGCAGGGGGAGTGGCAGGCAGAGGGAGAGGGAGAAGCAGGCTCCCCGCCGAGCAAGGAGCCCCACGTGGGGCTCGATCCCAGGACTCTGGGATCATGACCTGAGCCTAAGGCAGATGCTTAACCGACTGAGCCACCCATGCGTCCTTCTTTCTCTCTTTAAATGAAATTGTAGTCACACTACATATAGTTTGATGCCCTACTTTTTTCTTTTAATGTTATAATGTAAGCATTTGCATTTCATTTAATATTCTTCACATAGTCTTTAATGACTCTGAAATATTCCATTTATGAGTAGACTTATCTAGTCATTCCTGTATTTTAAGACATTTGGGATGTTTCCAAATTTGTACTCTTATACATAGTGTTGTGATAAATATCCATGCTGATTTACAGAGGAAAGGTGTACTTTGTCACAAACCCTTAAATCATAAAGACTGTAGGTAAAAGTAGAATAACATTTCCACATATTCTGTGTGTGAATACTGGGCTTTGTTTATAGGGTAAATAAATATGTCTCATACATATGTATGCTATTTATAAATGTATGCAGATGCAGCTGTAGTTCATAAAATATGAAATAAAGATGTGACTGAATTTATAGTAGTTTTTTGATGTTATAGATTTTACAGCTAGGTGACATTAAGTTGATTTTTTTTTAACATGAAAATGTCCTCATATTTTAAAAGATGAGTAGCCTCAACTCTTTGTTTTACATGGTGGTGGGGGTGGGGGGGAAATCAAAGATTTTTTGGACTTGGAGAGCAGCATGATGAGTTAAACATTTTAGAGTTTGAGGAGCATATGGAATACTTAATTTCTCCTTCACAACATTCAGCACTTTGCGACTGAGATGCATAGTAGGCTTGTATTAAATATATCAGTTGACTTGAGTTATTTAACATAGGATATGGTTGTATTAAAAAGAGTTTGTGTTCTATTATATTTTAAGTATGTTATTTCTTTAAAAACTTACCTTATAAAATGTTGAGTGGCCTTATTTTCATGCCCCTGAATCAGATCTTCAGAGTTAGCTTTTTAATTTTTTCCAAGTAGGTACAATAATCTAGATCTGTTGTAGATCTAAAATCTCTTATTGGAAACCCTTAGGGTAAAATGTGTTTAGAAATTTGGAATTTGGGTTTTAGAAAAGCAACAGAATGCGTGTATGATATATTATGTAATACTCCAGGTGGGGTTTGGGGCATTACCATGCAATTGTAAATGTGAATATTTCTTCAGTGAAACAAATGAATAATCACACAAAATCAGATAAGTAATTGGCTACCAAATGAGTTTTGGTGCCAAATTTATAAAAAGTCTTTTAGTTTTCAGAGCTTTTAGCCTTTGTGTTGTGAATATGGGATTATAGGTCTAAAAAACATGGGCCTTTTAAAGACTATTGCATTCTAAGAATATTTTGTCTTGTTATCTTTTCAGATAATTTAATTTGACTTTTTTTCACTTTTTAAAGGAATAATAGAAACTTCAGAAATAATTGCTGCTTTGAAATCACTGGGTATAAATATTTCTGAAGCTCAGGCAAAAAAAATTCTACAAAGGTCAGCCCTTTTTCTTATTTTTGATAGTTTTTATTTTTATTTAATATTCCAAGGTAGAAATTAATTGCTATAGTTGTAGCCCCTTCTCCCTGCCTGCCTCCCTCCCTCCTTTCCTGCATGCCTGCCTTTCTTTTTAGGTTTGATAACATTAGCTTTTATTGACAGTGTTATAAGAAAGATCCCTAAGAGATTTATTGAATTGTGAGAATGCTATTGACTAAATCATAAATTGTTCACACGTTACAAAGTCCCTAGAATAAAATTCTGCCTGCTTTAGTTTAAAGAATAGGTATAATTCTCTTAAGCAATTGATTTAAAAATTTTAATTTTTAATTTTTTTAACATACAAAAATCTGTACAAAACTGACATATGCAACTTGATGAGTTTGGAGGTAATTTTACATCTAGGAAACCATTACCACAATCTAGGCCATAAACCTATCCATCCCTTCCAAAAGTTTCCTCCCACCACCTTATTTATAACTATTATTTTTTTGTGATAAGAATACTTTTTTGTAGTTAAAACTTAAATTTCTTTCTTTTTTATTGAGGTATAATTGACATATAACATTAGTTTCAGGTGTACAATGTAATGTTCTGATATTTGTATATATTGTGAAATTATCATCACAATAAGTCTAGTTAACATCTGTCACCATATGTAATTAAATTTTTTTTTCTTGTGATGAGAACTTTTAAGATTTACTCTCATCAGCTTTCAAAAATATGCAGCACGGTATTATTAACTATAGTTACCATGTTGTACATTACATTCCCATGACTTATTTTATAACTGAAGTTTGTACCTTTCAACCTCTTTCACCCATTTCACTCATCCCCTAAACCTCCACCTCTGGCAACCACCCACCAATCTGTTCTATCTATGAGCTCTTTGTTTTTTTTAAAGATTTCACTTATAGGTGCGATCATGTGGTATTTGTCTTTCTCTCTCTGACTTGTTTCACTTAGCAAAATGCCCTCAAGGTCCATCTATGTTGTCTCAAATGTCTAGATTTCCTTTTGTTATGGCTGAATAATATTCCACTGTGCACACATACACATTGTGTGTGTGTGTGTCTGTATACACACACACATACCACATTTTCTTTATCCATTCATCCACTGGTAGACCCTTAGGTTGTCTCCATGTAAGAACAATTAACATAAGATCTACTGTCTTAGCAACTTTTAAAATATTCAACAGGGTATTCTTAGTACTTATTCTTAGAGTATTTGTTATAAATGTTATAAGCACTATTTTTGTTTTAAATTTTAGCATTGATAGTGATGGAACGATGACAGTAGACTGGGATGAATGGAAGTACTACTTTTTACTTCATCCTGCAACAAATATTGATGAAACTGCTCATTTCTGGAAGCATTCTACTGTAAGATTGCTTTGGATTCTACTCTATTTTTATTTTGCCGCAAATGTCATAGCTGTTATTATGATTATGTAACCTCTATAATACTTCCAGCCTCAGTGACTAAAATAACAGTATTCTCTCCTTATAATGTTCTACTAATTGAGCAATGAGTGTTAGTATTAAATGTACAAACATAGCTACTACAATTTCTTTGTTTACTAAAACCTAGAACTTAAAGTATATACTCATCCACTGAAAGGGCCTACTTTGTGTTGAGAATAAATTAATCTAATGTAGTTAACTGTCCTAGGAAAGTGGAAAAATAATATACTTTTCTTTTTTCACAGAGTATATCAGAGATGATATACTCAGCTTTCTGTCATGGGAAATGTAAAGTCAAAGATTAAGATTCAAAATTTCAGAATCAGAAAGGATCAAAAATATAATCTACCTGTTCTTTTTATGTAAGCACTTGACTCAGAGTTGTGAGGAACAAATGAGGCTTTTTAATCGAAAACTTGTTTTTTCTTTTTTAGATCTCGATGCAGGGGGTTAAGTTAATCATTTATTCATGGCATACTGTTTGCATCCTCCTCTTCATAGAACAATATAGGGGAGGACAAAGAGCCTAGGCTTCAGAGTCAGATGTCTAGGGTTGAATTTCACTTCTGCCACCCACTAGCTTTATAATCCCTCTGTGCCTCAGTTTTCTCAGTTATGTACTGGGGATAATAATGGTAAGAGTTTTGAGAATTAAATTAATACATTAGTTAGTGAATTTAGAAAAGGGCTGGGCAGGTAATATATGTCTTCAATAAATGTTACTTATTATGATAGGCACTTATGTTAATATGTGTAGTCTGTGTCTTGGATATGTGTATATTCTTAGGAATCATGTAGTTTTTCATGTGTGTGTGTATTTAATTTACATAGGTAGTATTCTGCTGAAGTCCACAACTGATTTCTTGCTTTGTTCACTCAGTGTTATGATTTTAAGATTTGTCCTTGTTGTTATGCATTCATCTAGTTTATTGCTTCTAACCACTACAATAGTATGCATTTAACACATCTTCTTTATCCATTTCCCTAGTAACAGACATCTAGATCTTCTGCAACTTCATCCAAAAAACAAAAAAAACTTTCCTCTTTTGTACCTTGGAGAATTTCACCTGGATTTCTGAGTCAAAAAGAATATGCATTTGCAATTTTACAGAGGTTATCCTAGTCTTAATTCTATGAAAGATAGCCATGTTATTTCCCAAATGACTTTCTATACCAGCTTACATTCCCACCAGCAATGCATGAATATTGCTTGGTATTATCCAATTTTCTAATATTTTCCACTCTGTTGGGTATAGAGTGGTATCTTGTCTTAATGTGCATTTCTAACATGTCTTCATAGAAATACTAGAGATTCACATGTTCTTTTCTACAAATTGTCTATTTTTATCTTTGTCTATTTTTTTCAAGATTTTTTGAGACAGAATTGACATACAACATTGTGTAAGTTAAGGTGTACAACATGATATCTGATATACTTATGTATTGTGAAATGATTGTCACATTTCCCTCCATAACCCTCGCATAATTACCATTTCTTTTTTGCAGTGAGAACATTTAAGATTTACTCTCTTAGCAACTTTCAAGTATATAATACATTATTAACTGTAATCACCATGCTGTACATTTGGTCCCCAGAACTTATTCACCTCATAACCAGAGGTTTTTCTCCTTAGACCAACATCTTCCCATTTCCCTCATTTCCCAGCTCTTGGCAACCACCATTCTACTCTGCTTCTATGAATTTGCCTTTTTTTAGATTCCATATTTAAGTGATGCTGTACAGTATTTTTCTTTCTCTGTTTGACTTATTTCATTTAGCATAATGTCCTTGAAGTCCATCCATATTGTTGCAAATAGCAGGATTTTCTTCTTTTTTTTCTTTTAAAGATTTTATTTATTTATTTGAGAGAGAGAATGAGAGATAGAGAGCACGAGAGGGAAGAGGGTCAGAGGGAGAAGCAGACTCCCTGCTGAGAAGGGAGCCCAATGCGGGACTCGATCCTGGGACTCCAGGATCATGACCTGAGCTGAAGGCAGTCGCTTAACCAACTGAGCCACCTAGGCGCCCAGGATTTTCTTCTTTCTAATGGCTAAATAATAATCCATTGTGTATATATACTGCATCTTTATTTATTCATCCACAGGTGGACACTTAGATTGTTTCCATAACTTGGTTTTTGTGAATAATGCTGCAATGAACATGGAGGTACAGATATCTTTTTGAGATCCCGATTTCTTTTTTTAATGCTTTATTCGAGGGAGGGAGAATGAGAGAGAGAGAGAGAGTGAGAGAGAGAGAGCACACTTACGCAAACAGGGTGAGGGGCAGAGGGAGAGGGAAACAAGCAGATTCCATGCTGAGCAGGGAGCCTGACTTTGGGCTCAATCCCAGGGCCTTGAGATCACGACTTGAGCAGAAATCAAGAGTCAGACGCTTAACCAACTGAGCCACCCAGGCGCCCCTGAGATTCTGATTTCATTTCCTTTGGCTTTATACCAATAAGTGGAATTTCTGGATATGACAGTTCTTTTTTAATATTTTGAGGAACTTCATACTGATTTCCACAGTAGCTATACCAATTAAATTCCCACCAACAATGCAGAAGGGTTCCTTACCTTCTCTCTCCATCCTTACTAACACTTGTTGTCTCTTGTTTTGTAGGTAGTAGCCATTCTAACAAGAGGTAATATCATTGTGATTTTGATTTGCATTCCCTGTTGGTTAGTAATGTGGACCATCTTTTCATATACATGTTGGCCATTTGTATGTCTTTTTTTTTTGAGAAATATCTATTTTGTTGTTCTGCCCATTTTTTTCATTAGATTGGTTTTTTTTGTTGTTATTGAGTTGTATGAGACCCTTATATATTTTGGATATTAACCCCAAATCAGATATATGGTTTGTAGGTATTTTCTGCTATTCTGTAGGTTGCCTTTTTTCATATTGCTGATTGTTTCTTTTACTGTATAGAAGCTTTTAAGGTTGATGTAGACCCACTTATTAATTTTTGCTTTTGTTTTCTTTTTAGAAAGAGAGAGAGAGAGCAAGAGGTGGGGCAAGGGCAGGGGGAGAGAGAAAATCTTAAGCAGGCTCCACGCTCAGTGTGGAGCCCCGATTTGGGGCTCCATCTCATGACCCTGAGATCATGACTTGAGCTGAAATCAAGAGTTGGATGCTTACAAAAACTTTTTGCTCTTGCTAATTATGCTCTTGGCATCATACCCAAAAGGTCATTGCCAAGACCCATATCAAGCAGCTTTTTCCTTGTTTTCTTTAAGGAGTTTTACAGGTTCAGATCTTAGGTTTAAGTTTTTAATCCATTTTGAGTTAATTTTTCTGAGTGGTTTAAGGTAGGGGTCCAATTTTATTCTGCTGCGTGTGATTATCCAGTTTTCCCAACATCATTCTTTTAAAAGACTATTCTTTGCCCATTGAATATTCTTGGCTTCTTTGTCAAATATGAGTTTACCATATATGTGAGGGTTTATTTCTGGGCTCTCAATTCTGTTCCATTGGTTTATGTGTCCGTTTTTGTGCCAATGTCATACTGTTTTCATTACTATAGCTTGAAATCAAGGAGTATAATGCCTCCAGCTTCGTTCTCTCTCAGGATTGCTTTCACTATTTGAGTTTTGTGTTTCCATATGCATTCTAGGATTTTTTTTCTCTATTTCTCTGAAAAATGCCATTGGAATTTTGATAGGGCTTGCATTGAATCTATAGACGGCTTTGGGTATGTGGACATTTAACAATATTAATTCTTTCAGTCCATGAGCATGGTATATCTTTCCATTTATTTGTGTCATATTCAATTTCTTTCATCAATGTTATCCAGTTTTCAGTGTGCAAGTCTCTTACCTCCTTGGTTAAATTTATTCATAACTATTTTATTGTTTTTGATGCTATTATGAATGAGATTGTTTTCTATATTTCTTTTTCAGATATTTTGTTGTTAGTGTATAGAAATGAAACTGGTTTTTATATATTGATTTTGTATCTTGCAACTTTGCTGATTCCATTGATTAGTTCTAACAGTTTTTTTGGTGGAGTCTTTAGGATTTCTTATATACAAGATCATGTCATTTGCAACAGAGACAATTTTACTTCTATCGTTCTGATTTGGATGCCTTTTTTTTTTTTTTCAGAGAGAGAGAGAGAGATTGATCAGGGAGGGGCAGAGGGAGAAGGAGTGAGAGAATCTTAAGCAGGCTCCACACTTGGTATGGAGCCTGATGTGGGGCTTGATCTAATGACCCTGAGATCATGACCTGAACTGAAATCAAGAGTCAGAGGCTTAACCAACTGAGACACCCAGGCACCCCTGGATGCCTTTTATTTCTCTTTCTTGCTGAGGCTAGGACTTTCAGTACTATGCTGTATAGGGTTGGTGAGAAGAATTGTCACCGTTGTCTTGTTTCTGATCTTCAATGAAAGGCTTTCAACCTTTAACCATTGAGTATTTTGTTACCTATGGGCTTGTAATATATGGCCTTTAATATGTTGGGTTATATTCATTCTTTACCCAACTTTTTGATAGTTTTAATCTTGAAAGGATGTTGAATTTTGTCAAATGCTTTTTCTGCATTTATTGAAATGATCATATGATTTTTATCCTTAATTCTGTCAACGTGATATATCACACTTTTTGATTTGTGTATGTTGAACCATCTTTGCATCCCAGGGATAAATCCCATTTATCATGATCCTTTTAATGTGCCATTGAATTGTATTTGCTAATATTTTGTGGAGGATTTTTGCATTTATGTTCATTAAGGCTATTGGTTTGTAGTTTTCTTGTAGTGTCCTTGTCTGACTTTTGTATCGGGGTAATGCTAGTATTATAAAAATGAGTTTGGAAGGGTTCAATTCTCTTCAGTTGTTTAGTAGAGTTTGAGAATGATTGGCATTAATTCTTCTTTAAAATTTGGTAGAATTCACCAGACCGTCTGGTCCTGGGCTTTTCTTTGTTGGGAGATTTTTTAAATTAGTGATTCAATTTGCTTTCTCATTATTGGTCTGTTCAGATTTTCTCTTTCTTCATGATTCAGTCTCAGTAGGTTGTATGTACCTAGGAATTTATACATTTCTTCTAGGTTATGCAATTTATTGGTGTATAATTGTTCAGAGTAATGTCTTATGACCCATTGTAGTTTTTTGGTATCAGTTGTAATGTCTCCTCTTTTGTTTCTGCTTTTATTTATTTGAGTCTTCTCTCTTTAGTTAGTCTAGCTAAATGTTTGCCAATTTTGTTTATCTTTTAAAAAAAACCCAGCACTTAGTTTTGGTGATCTTTTGTTTTTTGTTTGTTTTTGTTTCTGGTCTCTACTTCACTTATTTCTGCTCTGATCTTTATTATTTCCTTCCTTCTGCTAACTTTGGTCTTAGTTTTTCTTTTTCTAACTCCCTAAGGTTTATTTATTTATTATTATTATTATTTTTTATTAGTTTCAGGGGTAGAATTTAATGATTCATCAGTTGCATATAACACCCAGTACTTATTACATCAAGTGTGTCCTTAATTCCCATCACCCAGTTACCCCATCCCCCACCCCCCCTCTAGCAACCCTCTGTTTCCTAGAATTAAGAGTTTGCCTCCCTCTCTGTTTTCATCTTATTTTATTTTTCCTTCCTGTCCCCTATGTTCATCTGTTTTGTTTATTAAATTCCACATTTGAGTGAAATCATATGGTATTTGTCTTTTTCTGACTGACTTATTTCACTTAGCATAATACTAGTTCCTTAAGGTTTAAATTTAGATTGAGGTTTTTCTTGTTTCTTGAGGTAGGCCTGTATTGCTATGAACTTCCCTCTAAGAACTGCGTTTGCTGCATGCCATAAGTTTTGGTATATTGTGTTTCCATTTGTCTTAAGATTTTTTTTTATTTCCCCTTTGATTTCATCTTTGACCCATTCAGGGGCCTTATTCTCTCTATTATCTCCTTTATGTTTTGTATTTAAATATCCTGCATTTAAATACAACATTTAACATATTTAAGCCAGTACCTTTTACAAAAAAATGTAATCCTACTGAAGTCCCATCTTAGCTACCTTATCCTTTTTCTCTCTTCATGGCTATACACCCATTCACTTCTCAGCTAACTGGCTTTGCTTTCACCACTTTGTAGAAATTCTTTTACTAAGCCAGTCTCTCTCCAGTTTCTATCCACTGTTAGTTCAGTGGATATTTTCTAGATCTTACCACTCTCTTTTTTTACATGTTCTCTTCAGCTGGCTTCCTTGACACTACATTCTCCTGGTTTTCTTCCCACCTCTCTGTCATTACTTTTCTGTCTCTCTTGAGGCTCTTCTTTCTCAGTCTGTCTCTTATATATTAGCTTTCTTCTATGTTCCAGTTTCAACTTTCTTTGCCTCTCACCCTGTATATTTTTTTTTCTAGGCAATCCTATTTACTCTCCCACGTTGAACTACCAGATATAGGCCCTAGTGATTGCTCCACGTCTTATGTCTCTAGAGCACACCTTCCTTCTGCATGTGCAAGCATTTATTGGATATCAGTTGGGACACCTCAAACACACACACCACATCATTTGACCTCTAGATCTTCTTTTACCATTTCACTGAATGGTGTCATCATCTTCCTAATTGCCCAAGCCATAAATGTCAACATTATTCCAAGGTCTTGAGCTTTCCTTTACCCTCCTTCCATCCCTATATACAGTCTTGCAGTTCTTAGAATATCTAATGTCTTTGAACAAATTATTTTCTTTGCCTAGAACATTCCCTTGGCTAATTCCTACTTCTACAGGGAGATGGTACAGTGTGATGGACAAGAAGGTAAACTTTGAGGTCAGAATACCTGGATTCATATTGCTTTGCTACTTCTAAGTTACTTTACGTGAAAAGTGTTCCTTGACAGTTCCACTCATCTCCCCCCAACAAAAATAAAATTCTACACTCCATTAAATGTCTCGATACTGTGTTCTTAGACACTTTTTTTATGCTACCCTTGTTATTGTACTTATTCCTTTATATTATAATTGCTTGTTTCCTTTCCTGTCTTTTGTATTATACTGTCAACTCCCTGAGGGAAGAAACTTAATTTCTGCACTGTATTATGAATACACAACCCAGCACCTGGTGTGTTAATTTATTAGTTCAACAAATATTTATTGAGCATACTTATCTCCACTGACCAAAGTGCAAGGTTTACAACAGTGCATAAAAAAGACCAGGTTAGGTCTTTTTTTAATACTTGAATAACACAGGATTTAAATACTTAAATAGACCTTTTAAGTATTTAGGTACTTAAGTAAGACCAGGATAGATAGTATATCTATCCCAGTGCATAAAATAAAACAGGTTGCTGCTCTTATCAGACTTATTTTCTAAAGGAGGAAGCAAGCAACAGATAGAAATGAACTAATAAAGATTGGGCTAAGTATTAAAGAGGAATCTATGGAAAGAGCCAAGGAGAAAGGTCCTACTAGAGGGAAAATCAAGTACGAAGTTCTGAGGTGGAATGGCACTTGGAAAGGGGGCACTCAATGAATGCATAAATAAAGGTGGGAAAACTAAGAAGCAGAGAAGTGACTTGTCTGCCATGATTGACAAGTAATGGAACCTAGATCCCCTGTGTCCAATGTGGCACTCTTTTCAGTGAGTCACATTACCTCAACATTTAGCAGAAATGGATAATCTCAGCAAAAGCATGTATGATTACTGAAAATAAAGTGAAATGCAAAACTTGTTAGAGTTCAGAGTTTTAAAAAGAAAATTGTCATTAGAGAAAAAAGTCAATGTAAATAATAGAGAAAGAAGTCTAAGAGTATAAAATACTACTTTTGAATTCTGACAGATTAGGTAAGTACACACTGGAATTCGAGAGATTTTGAAATGAAGTAGAGAAACTTAATTAAGCATTGTGTGACAGGCATTGTGGTATGTGACTAGGATATTATCCCTGCATTGAATATTTACATTTTCTTTTTTAAAAATATTTTATTTATTTATTTGAGAGAGAGAATGAGATAGAGAGAGCATGAGAGGGGGGAGGGTCAGAGGGAGAAGCAGATTCCCTGCTCAGCAGGGAGCCCGATGCGGGACTCGATCCTGGGACTCCAGGATCATGACCTGAGCTGAAAGCAGTCGCTTAACCAACTGAGCCACCCAGGCACCTGAATATTTACATTTTCCATGGAAGAGATTAATCTAAATAGCTTGAGAATTTAAAATTAATAACTTTAATTTAATAGGAATTGATTTTTGTAGATTTTAAATCTGTATGTGAATGTATTATTAAAAATCATTTGGTCTAGTACAAGTGCTGAGAAAATTGTCAGTATTCATTAACAGGAGGTGAGATATGAAAAAATACTTTGGGTTTTTGGTCTTTGTAAAAAATTATCCTTTTAATTTATCAAGTATGTATACTTTATTGTGTAATTCATTTTTACATTTTTATCAGATAATTGACATAGGGGAGAGTATATCTATCCCAGATGAATTTACTGAAGAAGAAAAGCGTTCTGGAGATTGGTGGAGGCGTTTGGTGGCAGGAGGTATAGCTGGGGCAGTTGCAAGGACATGCACAGCATCTTTTGACCACTTGAAAGTCATGATGCAGGTAGTTTGCACACTTGACTCCTTAAAGTCACTTGAAAAACCCTTGACAATTTTCAAAAAGAAGTGTTTTGGCACCTTTCATACTATTTCTCATTATAATTTCACATTTTTCTGAAAATGCAAATTTTCTTATTTTCAATATTAAGAAGATTTTTAAATTTTCTTAAAGATGCTTGTGTGCTATTTAAATTAATTTTTATTCGAAATAATAATAATAGGACACTCTATTAGAAGTTTTTTCAGAAATAGAACTAAAAATATCAAAGAAGTGGTAAGACACCATTAGTCTTATTTATTGATTATCCCTAGACCCTGGCACCTACATAATAGCATGGTTCTATTGTACTATTTAAGTATTAAGCCATATTTCTAAGAATTGGCAAATAAGTTACTTAGAGTGTGCTATTGATTGATACCTCACTAGAGGTATTGGTGTCTAATTATCTTTATTCTTCTAAGTGATGGATTGTTAATAGTAGTTTCAATAGTGCATAGTTTAATCTGTTAACTGTCGTAATTAAAATTTAATATTTGCTGAATACTTTCTTTACAAAGATACAAAAATTAATAATTCACAATCTAGTGAGTTTAGATTTATAATTAAACTTATATACGGAGGTGTTTTATTCTTTTTTTTTTTGGTAACATTGGTGACATTTGGTAATGGATTTTTCAAATTTTTAAAAAAAATATTTTTATTTATTTATTTAACAGAGAGAGAGAGCACAAGTAGGCAGAGCGGCAAACAGAGGGAGAGGGAGAAGCAGGCTTTCTGCTGAGCAGGGAGCCCCATGCGGGGCTCGATCCCAGGACCCTGGAATCATGACCTGAGCCAAGGGCAGCCGCTTAACCAACTGAGCCACCCAGGCGCCCCTTGGTAATGGATTATTAATAGTTTTTTTGGTTGTTGTCTGATCTTATTTATTTGTTACTCTTAAAAAATCTTACTTCTGACAGACTCAGATGTAGAAGTAGGAGCTCTCAGAGGTGATAGTCTCCATCTCTTGACAATCTGTTCCTGATGTTCTCCTTTGGCTTCCTTCCTTCTCTTGGCCAAAGTTTAGCATGTTCTGTGGACTCTTGCTTATTTTTCTTAGTATGCTGTTTCTTCATAGGCATTGTTTGTGTTGTAGAGCACATGGAGCAATGAGATGCTGAATGCTGGGCACTTGGGTCCTGGGTGTCGTGCCCTCCTTGTTTACAGGTTTTCTGACAATGTATCTGTGGGCATCATCTTCTGCAGAGAGATTGAAAAGTTTGCAGACCCTGCTAGCTCTTGTGGGCACCAGGTGATGAGGCACAATAGGGTCAGCCTAGGAATATCTTTCTCCTGCTTTTTTATAATTACCAAGTTGTGAACACTCAGGTCTGCATCCACAATGCAACCCTGAACAGATTTGGGCTTTCTTTCTCCAGATCTCCTGTATCTATAGAAGCAATGCCCCATACTCAGTAGCAGTTCTCACTTTATGAATAATTTATATATTGTTTTTTGGTTTTGTGATTAACAGTATAGCATGTTTTCATGTTATTTCAAATATTTTTCAAATATTTCAATTATTTGTGTATTCTTCAAAAACAAGTTTTAATGACTATTATTTCAAGTGGATGTGTCATATTAATTTTTTAAATTATTTTTTCCTATTCTTGGACATGTAGGTGGTTTTTAAAACTCTTAAAATTATAATTCATAATAGTTCATAATGATGAATATCATTGATTATGAGTTTTTTTCATATTTAGGATTATTTATTTAGAAAGATTTCCTAGAAGTTAAGTAATGATATGAACATTTTTAAGGCTTTGTGTGTGTGTGTGTGTGTGTGTGTGTGTGTGTGTGTGCATGTGTGTATACTGTTAAATTCTTTTCCAGACTTTTTCTTCCCACAGGAGATGAAAATGCCCATTTCACCTTGCTCTCCCATTATTATCCTGTTACATTATAGACAGGAGGGTATTTTACTAATGTTCTAATTTTCACTTTCTTAAAAAGGACATATTCTTATTATAAAATAATACATTAGAAAAATGGGATGATGCAGAAAAGTAGAATGGAAGACATTAAAATGACCTGTAATCCTTGTGTATTAGTTTGCCAGGGATGTTATAACAAAATTTCACAAACTGACTGGCCTACACAACAGAAGTTTATTGTCTCACAGTTTTGAAGTCTAGAAGTCTGACATCAAGGTGTCTGTGTGGTTCGTTCCTTCTGAGAGCAGTGAGGAAAGGATCTGTTCCAGGTCTCTCTCCTTGGCTTGTAGATGGCTGTCTTTTCTCTGTGTCTCTTCATGTTGTCTTCCGTCTGTACATGTCTCTGTGTCCAAATTTCCCCTTTTTATAAGGACACTAATTATATTAGTTTTTAGGGACACTTTAAGACCTTACTTTAACTTGATTATCTCTATAAAGACCCTATCTTCAAATAAGGTCACATTCTGAGGCATTAAGACTTCAACATATAAATTTTGGGGAGACTAATTTCAACCCATAACACCTTGCTACCCAGAAGTATCCGCTACTGAAAGTTTGATATATTTTCACCCATTCCTTTTTCAGTGCATATTTCAGTGTACTCTGTAATAATCTAGCAGCAACAACACATTTTTTGTATGCAAAAATTCTCTGATAAGTCATTCCTGTTTTCTTTAAGTTGCTCTCTTTGATGTATGAGATTAACGTATGTATTTGGGGACAACAAAAAATTAATACATCAATTTTATATGTCTCTAAAGGACAGTGAAAATGGTGTTGAAGTTCACAGATTTCTACATTTATGTATCATTATTTTATTAGCAATAATAACATCAATGCTATATTATGAGCAAAAAATTTAAAAATAAATTTCCTGTACATTTCTAGGTTCATAGTTTAAAGTCAAGGAGAATGAGATTGATTGGTGGATTTGAGCAGATGTTAAAAGAAGGAGGAATTCATTCTCTTCGGTGGGGAAATGGTGTAAATGTTTTTAAAATTGCACCTGAGACAGCTCTCAAGATTGGGGCCTATGGAATTTTATGATAAAGATCAGATTTTAAATTTTATTTAAAAAATTTGGACTTTAATGAGAGAGAAAACTGGAATGTGTACAGCAATAGATACCATTGTAAATACAGGCATACCGGGAAGATATTGTGGGTTTGGTTCATTGCACTTTATCAGCACGATAAAGTGAGTCAAATGAATTTTTGGTTTCCCAGTGCATATAAAAGTTATGTTTACGCTATACTGTAGTCTATTCAGTGTGTGATAGCGTTATGTCTAAAAAAACTATATATATACTCTAATTAAAAATGCTTTATTGCTAAAAATGCTAAGCATCATCTGAGCTTTCAGTGAGTTGTAATCTTTTTGCTGGTGCAGGGTCTTCCCTGGATGTTGAGGATTGCTGACTGAGCAGGGTGGCAGTTGCTGAGAGCTGGAGTGGCTCTGGCAATTTCTTGAAATAAGACAACAATGAAATTTGCCTCATTGGTTAACTCTTCCTTTCACAAACAATTTCTCCATAGCATGTGATGCTGTTTGTTAGCACTTTACCCACAGCAGAACTTCTTTCAAAATTGGAGTCAGTCCTCTCAAATGCTGCCACTGCTTTATCAACTAAGTGTATGTAATAGTCTAAATCCTTTGTTGTCATTTCAACAGTCTTCACAGCATCTTCACCAAAATTAGATTCCATCTCAAGAAACCGCTTGTTTTTGCTCATCCATCAGAAGAAACTCTTTATCCATTGAAGTTTTATCATGAGATTGCAGCAACGCTGTCCCATCTTCAGGCTCCACTTCTAATTCTAGTTCTCTTACTGTTTCCATGACACCTGCAGCAACTGTCTCCACTGAAGTCTGGAACCCCTTCTTCCCAACTCCTGTTAATGTTGATATTTTGACCTCTTCCCATGAATCATGAATGTTCTTAATGACATCTAGAATGGTGAATCCTTTCCCAAAGGTTTTCAATTTACTTTGTGCAGATTCCTCAGAGGTATCTATGGTAGCTGTAGTTCCATGGCAACGACCCCTGCTGTCAACCCTAAGAACAGTCATCTTTGGGTCCTTCAACAAGGACTCCCTTCTTATCTTAGAAACATAGTCTACTAGAAGGTTCTCCTCATGATAAACTCCATTGTAGTGTTTCCACCTTCCTGAGTCTGCTTATCCCTTCCTCAACAATCTGTCAAGACTTCGGCATTACCACCTTGCTTGCTATCAGCCAGAGTTGTGTCCAAGCTTTAAAGAGCAATTCCTGCAGCATATTAGGATAGGTTTTGGGAGTCCTGTATCATGGGAGAGTGCTCCACATCAATAAAGTCTTCCCTATCCAGCATTATATTCCATCCCTCAGATCCCCACCATTAGTACTCTTGTGACCCACTCTCACACTGTTCCCCCAATTCCTTCCAGTCCATAATAGCCAGGTCCTTGGGCTGAGGACTGACCCTATATAAATTATTGGCTGGGAGGCAGTCAGAGGAGGTGATGGGTAGGCAGGTTGTGAGGAGAGCAAACATCCTATTGGTAGGCATCTGCCTCTTTGAGGCCTTTATGTGCATGGCCTTGGTGCAAAGAGAAGCTGCTCTGCTCTAGCAGTGGGAAGGGGACAACTTTTTGCCAAATTGGAGGGTGCTTGTGAATTTAAGGGCTCAGATTTCTCAGGCATATACACCCAGATGTTCCCATCCCATGTGTCAGGATCCTACTCCTTCCCAGTGAGGGGCCTCACTTTAGCATAGGAGACCTTTTGAGGCTCTATGTTGTTTCCTTAGTGACTCTGTTACCTTTACATTTCTATCGTGGGCCTGATTTTTAACAGTCTATGAGGATCTCTAAATGCTGCTATGAAGGCATCATAGTGTTCTTAATATGCTTTAAGGTGATAGTTAGATGACTTAACCTTGACATTGTCTTCCTTCCAAGTTTCTAAGATAGTGAATTAGAATCAGCCAACTCCACAATCCTTATAATTGTCCCCATGCTGTTCAAGTATTAGGGCAACTGCATAATGTAGTGCTTTCCTGTCTACCAGTACTTTATCCCAAGCCACTATGCCTATGAATCTTAATAATTGTAATTCCATAACATACCATAGATTTTCATCATCCCATTTACCAACACAGATCCCATTGTTGTCAAGTGACTGGTGAGTGATCCAGTTCTAACAACATCAGCAGGCCTACTTTCTAGGACCACTTTTCAAAGAACCAGCTTTTGATTTTGTTGATTTTCTCTATTGATTTCCTATTTTTAATTTCATTGATTTCTGTTCTAATTCTTGTTATATCTTTTCTTCTGCTACTTTGGATTTAATTTGCTCTTCTTTTTCTAGTTTTCTGAGGTAGAAACAGATTACTATTTTTAGATCTTTCTTCTTTTTAAATATATGTATTCAGTGCTATGTATTTCCTTCTAAGTACTACTTCCCACTCCTTTTGATAAATTGTGTCTTCATTTTCATTTAGCTCAAAATATTTTTAAATTTCTCTTGAGATTTCTTCTTTGACATTTAGAAGTGTGTTTTTAAATCTCCACATATTTTGGTATTTTAAAAGATTATCTTTCTGTTATTGATTTCTAATTTTATTCCATTGTGGTCTCAGAGCACCCATTGTATGCTTTCCATTCCTTTAACTTTGCTAAGATGTGTTATGGCCCAGAATGTGGTTTTTCTTGGGGAATGTTCCATGTGAGCTTGAGAAGAATGTGTACTCTGCTATTGTTGGATGAAATAGTCTGTGGATGTCAGTTATATACAGTTGATTGATGGTGGTGTTGAGTTCAGCTATGTCATTACTGATTTTTTTTTTTTTTTTGCTGTATCTGTCCATTTCTAATAGAGGATGCTGAAATCTCCAGCTATGATAGTGGATTCATCCATTTCTTTTTAAGATTTTATTTATATATTTGAGAGAGAGAGAGTGAAAGAAAGAGAGCACAAGTGGGGTGAGGGGCAGAGGGAGAAGCAGATTCTCTGCTGAGAGGGGAGCCCAATTGCGGGTCTTGATCCTGGGACTTCTGGTTCATGAGCTGAGCCGAAGGCAGACACTTAATGGACTGAGCCACCCAGGTGCCCCTGGATTCATCTATTTCTCTTTGTACTTCTATCAGTTTTGGCCTCATGTAGTTTGATGCTCTGTTGTAAGGCACGTATGTGCTAAGGATTGTTATATCTTCTTAGATAATTAACCCCTTTATCAGTATGTAATGCCTTCTTCATCCCTGGTAACTTTCCTTGGTCTGAAGTCTGCTCTGTCTGAATTTAATATAGCTACTCACACTTTCTTTTGATTAGTGTTAATATGATATATTTTTCTCCAGTCGTTTACATTTAATCTATACATGTCTTAGTATCTAAAGTGGGTTTCTTATAAATAACGTATAGTTGAGTGTTGTTTTTTGAGCCACTGTGACAATCTCTGGCTTTTAATTGGTGCATAGAACCACTTTTGAAGTAATACCAATAGTTTTGCTTTGGATTCCCCCCAAAGTTTATTTGTGAAGAAGCAGGAGTGAGGAAGCAGGGACAGTGAGACACAGAAGAAAGAAAAGCCAATACAGGGGTACATAAGTGGGGTTTCAGCTATATGCAGTAGGGGCTTGATTCTGAGGGAACTTCTAGGAAGTGTACACAATAGTTCCCAGAATTATCTGTCTGAAGGAAGAGAGCTGAGCTACTTATCTACCAGTTTCTGTCCCATATTGTATGAAGATTGCTTTTAGGACTTTAACTTCCCCAGACTTCTGGGGTGGACAGGCTCCCACAGCTTCAGAGAAGGCCCTGAGGCAGAAAAGCAGAGAGATGAGAGGCTTTTGCTTTTGATGGGTTTCTGTCAGTGAAGTGAGTCTGTGAGTCTGCACAGAACTGCCCAGATGTGATGTGGGGCTCTGGAAGAGTCTGCCATGGCCAGAGAAAGCCTGCTTAGATTTGGAGCCTGAGAGTTGCTTTAGAGATCAATGGAACATAGCGTTTTGTAGGCTTTGCTTTTGAGTTTTCTAGCATACAATTCTTTCCAAAACTTCTTACACTTCTTCTCTGTTTCCAGTCAATACCATGTGGAGTAACCATATCTAAAAATCTCTTCTCTGATATTTTATTTTCCAGTTCCTGTGCTTAGTCATTCCCCTTCTCTCTCATTTCTATAGTGGGCTACATTGATGTCAAATGAAACAATAGGCTGAAATTGGATGACAACATCTGATTTTGGCAGCTAGGCAAGCTCTTTAGGACATCTAATTTCCTTCTTTTGGGGTACAGAACAGGTGGCTTTTCCTACTTGGAAGCCCGCCATTCTTGACTACCAAACCAGGCTAAGAAAACTCCCTTAGCAGAGCTCCATTTCCATCCATTTCTGCTTGCAAATTGGCTTTGGAGAAGGCCCTAAGGCTGAAAAGCTGAGAGATGCATCAGGTCATGTGTTAATAGATCTTGCTAAAAGCAGCAAGGAGTGGGCAACACTGACCAACATTTTGAGATTTTACAATCAGTTTTCCTAGAACTTCAGGCTCAGAAAGCACATGATCTACCTTCCAAATTATCACAGCAGGCAGTTTTATCAAGCATTTTCACAAAGCATTGAAAAGATCATCATCTTCTCAGACTGCAATATCTGTGTCCTAACAATAAAGCCAGTGTCACATATTTTAGGTTTTAGTTTGTAGTACTCTACATCTAGTAATGACTTCCTGTTCTTGTTGGGGTTCACCCTAAGCTGTTAAACAGATTCCAAAATACAGTAGCTTAAATGAGATAGAGGCCAGTGGTCCAGGGCTAGTGGTACAGCTACATGGCTTCAGAGGTTGCTTCCATTGTTGCCATTCCTCAGATGGAGGAAAGAGGAGTCCGGGACAGGCCTCTTTAAGGAGATGTCAGAATTTGCATACTCAACTTCCCTTCATATCTCATTGGCCAAAATTAGTCACTTAGCCACACAACCTAGCTGCGAGAAAGAAGAGGGAAATGTGGTTTGCAGCTGTGTCAGCTCTGATACTAAAAGGAAGAAGATAGTGGGTACATGAACATATAGCAGTCTCTCATATTAACTGAATCAATCACACTTTTTGATGGGGAATTACTGATTTGAGAACTAGAGTTAGTTTATAGAGAATAGCTGAATTATATTGGTGATAGGCCTCTAGAAAAGGCAAACAGGAAAACATCTTGCCTAGGAGGTAACAAGGTAATCAGTTTGCTGAGGCTCTCTTGGATCCTAAGTGAGTTTCCAATTTCAATCTCCATGAAACTTGACTTACTTTAGCTCCTGTGAAGCCTGACCTTTATGCTGATATTTGTTTCCTTATTTCTACATGTGTTATTACAATAACCTCCCTGCTACTTAAGCTAACCAGAGTAACCCCTTGTTCCTTATAAGGGAAAGAGCCTCTCACATTTTTACTATTCTTGATTATCTTGTAAACAAATATATTAAGTTCTTGATTATCCTGTAACCAAATAATTTTAAATACTGTGCTTATGTAAGGCAGGGCGTGAAAAAGAGATAGCAGACACAATCCCTGCCTCCTTTTTGTCATTTGCATGCTTTTTATGAAATAGTACATTCATGAGTATGCTTAAGTGATTTAATGTTGCTAACTCATTCTGGGGAGGGCGGGGGAGAAAAAGGAAAGAGGAGGCCGAATAGAGAAGTCTTACTATCTTAGACAACTAATTGCATAAAAATTAAAATCAAGTATTCCTCTAGAGGTTAATGTCAGGTATCTGGAATACTTTTTCAAATAATGTTATACTACTAATTAATGTTATAAGCTTAGAAAAAGTAATATTTTTCTAAAAATATTCTATTTCAGTAATATTATACATTTCAATACTTTTATTTGTACAGTGTAAGAAATGGCTTAGTTTTGACGGTGCTAATGTAGGAATTATTGAGAGATTTATATCTGGCTCATTTGCTGGTGCAACTGCCCAGACCTGTATTTATCCCATGGAGGTATGTATTATTATAAAATTTTAAGTAAAGTAATGCTTTCAATACAAAGTATAACTTTGTAAAAATACTTATTTATTTGAGAGAGAGTGAGAGATTGTGTGTGTGCAAGCCAGGGTGAGGGGTAGCAGGGGGAAGGGCAGAGGGAGAGGGAGAAGGAGAGAAGCAGATTCCCTGCTGATCTGGACTTCACTCTGGGCTCAATCTCACAACTCTGAGATCATGACCTGAGCCAAAATCAAGAGTTGGATGCCCAACTTACTGAGCCACCCAGGTGCCCCACAAATTATAACTTTTAAAGTAAATGAAAGGAGATCAGGATTTTGTACAATAAACAGCTTTATAGCTACAGGATTTAAATCTTATACCAAGAGTTATTTGGCCCTAGTAAATGTTTTCTTTTGTTTGTTTGTTTGTTTAGGATCAAAGTAGTATTGTAGATGTATCAAGAAGATAAAAAAAATCATTGCTTGCTTGCTTAATTGATAGAATCACTTAATCATTAATCAAATCAAATCTGTATTGTACAACCACTAAGTTTAAGGTATTTTTTAGATGCAGAGGCAAATCAGATAGGCATTTTGGTCATGAAACTTATAGTTCAGATGGGGAGATAAAACATGTACATCAATAATGATGATCCAAAATAGAAAATATGAATTCTAGAAGAGAGGTCAATATGAAGTGCTATGGAAATTCAGAGGGGAGAAATTATTGCCAGTTAGGGGTTTCATGAAAGACATGAATAGAATATGTGAGTTTGGCTTAGATTTTGGACATTTAGAGATAATGAAGAAAGGCATTTTAGGTGGAAATAATGACTTAAGCAAAGGAATGGAGGCAAAAGAGCAGATATTTAGGTTTGGACTGGATAATACCATGGATAATGAGTTGGGGCCAGATCAGAAAGGCTCTTGAATGCAGTGTAAGAAATATAATTTCAATTTCTTAAAAAAATAAGAAGCCATTAAACACTTTGGAACCTGAAATATAATCTTGGTAAAGTCTTAGAGTGAGAGGGACTAGAGAAATTAGATGACTACATACAAGAGATTGCCGTCATTCAGGGAAGTGACAGTAAAGGCTGGAAACATGACACTGACTAGAGGAACCTGACTCCTTTAAAGCTGTCTTGAGAACTGACAGCCTGAGAAGTGGAAAGTGGGAGAGAGGGAAAGGAAGGAGGTGAAACTCTGTCTGGGTTGTGTGCCTGAGTGTTGAGGAGAGTTACGGCAGAGTTACATCTCTAACAGAGTTCGAGAGTGGTGGGAGTGGCCCAGACTGTGAGAAGATGTGGAGTTCAGGTTTGTACGTATTTAATTTGACTTGTTGGTGGACAACCAAGTTACGATTTTCAGCAGGCAGTTGCAAATGTGATACTGCGATTTGAGAGGTTTCAAGTCTTGATGTGTCATCTGCAAAGAAGTGCTAAAGTCATGAGATTACTTAGAAAAAAAAGTAGTGTTTTTTGTTTGTTTGTTTGTTTTGTTTTTTAATACTGAGAAGAAAATTTTTGAGAAGACCTTAATTTAGGGAGTAAGTGGGAAAAAAACCTGCCAGGGAAGTAGACAGAAAAGATTTACTTGGGTAAGAAGGGAGTTGAGTACACTACCCTGGGGAGGGCAGAGAGTTTTGAGAATGGGATTATCCAAAGTGTGGGGTGCTGCACAGAAGTTCTTAAAACAAAGCCTTCCAACTGATGACTCAGAGGCAGCTCCATCAAGATACACAGTTTGCCCAATCAAGAAAAGTTCATGCTTTTTTTTTTTTTTTTTTTGGTCTTGGCTGTTTTGGAGAGCCATTTCTCCAAGTATTTATAGGAATCCCTTAAGTTAAATTAATGAAAATTAAGAGGACAAGGAGTGAGGTTCTATTAGGAGAATTGCACAGGAATGTTGATCACAGACAGACTACTGAAGTCTACTATTGCCTTCATAGCTCCTGTTATGTTACTATTTTAAGAGCATGTTTCATCATATTAAATGATTATAGTTATTCCGCCTCACTGTTACAATAGTTCCCACAGTATGTATTTTAAGTATATACTGAATGTTATTTTTCATATTGCTTGTTCACTTTAACATGACCATATGTATATATATATATATATATATATTTTAACTTGGAATTTGGCTGTAGTTGCTTTATTTTGAAGCAATAATGTTATTTCAAATGAGTTTGTTTTAGAATATGTTGCCTTATAGCACCTTAAATGAGTTTGAGCAGATGTTATCAGTCAAAACCACAGTGATTAATTGCATTTTCTTGTTTAAATAATTTGTAAAAACTGTACTGTGTTAGCTCTTCATAGTTAAAAGCCAATTAGAGAGAAGCTAAAATTATATTTAAGATTGCTTTCTTTTTTGATTTCTATGATAATTAGTAAGCATTGTATATAATGGAGTTTAGTGTATTCCTAGATGAGTTGAGTGAATCTGATCAATATATTTTTATAATATTCTTCACATTTAGGTTCTAAAGACCAGACTGGCTCTAGGTAAAACTGGAGAGTATTCAGGGTTCATTGATTGTGGCCAGAAGCTTCTGAAACAAGAAGGTGTTAGAACCTTTTTCAAAGGTTATATTCCTAACTTGCTAGGTATTCTACCTTATGCAGGCATAGATTTTGCTGTTTATGAGGTGAGTTTATTCTCATAATATGACATTATGTGTTAGATTTGAAAATTTGGTATAATAATAGTCTTCATTCTAAAAATCTAGTTGTAAATGATTTTACATGAAGTAGTTTCTGACCAAGAAGTTTGGTTGAGTTGAATGGTTTTATTTGGCTTTTCATTTTATATGTTAGTTGTCTAGTATTCTAATAATAACTTTTTGTTTGGTGTTTTTTGTGAATTAGGTTTTACTGATAATATTTATAAACTTATATGCTGTTATAGTGGTTCTCAACTTTGGATGGATATCAGAATCACCTGTATGTAGATCTTTAAAAAATAAGACTCTTGGGCTACCTCACCCTCTTCCCCCCGCCCCCCCCCCCTTCCATACTCACTCTTTCTCTCTCTCTCTAAAATAATAAATAAATAAATTAAAAAAAAAGAGAGATTCTTGGGATACAACCAAGAGATTCTGATTTGATTATTCTGGGAGGAGGCCTGGGATTTAGGTTTTTTACTCTCTAGAAAAATCTGATGTACAGTTAAGATTGAGAAAGCTGAGATGTTGTGGCCCAGTTGTGAAAATGAGAATTGGCTGGAGGAGTCCTTGGGGGCTACTGGGGGAGAGGCAGCATGGAGATAGGGCAAATATCCTAATAGTGTAGTGCTTGTTGATCAGGCAGGATTCCGAGTTATTCCCCTTCTCGCCAATCATTTCATTTTTATGATCATACATATGTTTTAGGCAGACTATTGTAACAATATATACCATTTGGTCATAAAGAACCAGGTGAGAGTATGTGACTAGTATCACTTAAACTCATTCTCCGTGCAAGAAGGACAGCTCTCCAGCCACAGGTCCAATGGTATTTTTGGCAAGTGGTACCACAATCCTAGGAAAGATAGCCAATTTTGTTTAGCACTAAAAATGCATATATCTTTTATAGATGTTTAAAGTATTGAACAATATAGTATGTATTTCTTTTCTCCTTTTTTGCCTGCTTCTGTGGTCTTATTAAAATAAATTCATTGCTGCTGTTTATGTTGGGCTCCCTCCATTCTTTTATTTCTGCAGTTCAGTATCTTTTGCTTTCTTACCAGAGTAAGAGTGACGTTACACATTTCTCTTTTTTTTTGTTGCATGACTAATAAGTGCACTGAGTAAAGACATTTTGAAATATATTTTTTCAAAAGCATCAAATTATATATTTCACAATTACCTCAATATATAATGGTAAAGCTGTATCCTTTGATAAATGAACAGTTCTAAAAGCACTTAGTGATCTTTTAAACCCACTACTTTAAAATAATTTCCTCTAGCCACTTTTATTCAAGGAAAAGCAAATTTGGAAAGATGACTCTCTCTTAAATGTTCAGAAAATGTGGTTTTGTTAACCTAGAGTGGATTATGGAGTCTTCTCTACATTATTCTGTTAATCCCTTTGAGAATCTCCAGAATTTTGCTTGGGTCTTTGAATGACATTACAAACCAAAACAACTAGGCAAAATAGAACAAACAAAACCAAACTAAACAAAAGCACACCAAGAGATGCAAAACATAGGAGAACTCAAACTGAGGTTGTCTGAATACATTTTTTTTTAAAGATTTTATTTATTTATTTGACAGAGAGAGACACAGTGAGAGAGAGAGAGAGCACAAGTAGGGGGAGTGTGAGAGGGAGAAGCAGTCTCCCCACTGAGCAGGGAGCTCGATGCAGGGCGATGCAGGACTTGATCCCAGGACCCTGGAACCATGACCTGAGCCAAAGGCAGATGCTTAACGACTGAGCCACCCAGGTGCCCCGTCTGAACACATTTTTTGGAGAAAACATCTGTGTGCCCTGTCCCTGATAGGACAGTAGGCAGATAACCTCCTCTGTACATGGAGTAGGACCAATCCTCCGTAAAGATTTTGGAAAGAACAGTTATTAAAACCAAGCCATTAAGCTTGACTCTTATTTATCAGCGTTGTGACTTGATAACTTAGTTTCTCTGAATTAGTTCCTCATTTATAAAATTTATAAAGTGGAGATGACAGTATGGATTTGTGAAGTTTCTGTAGGGATTAAGTGAGAGAACGTCTATGACAATGCTCAGTGTAATTCTTGAACCAAGAAGCTACTCAATATGTTTATTGAAATTGAATGAGCAGTGAACTTCAGTCTACTTAGACTTGCATAGTGTTTAAAGGATACTTACTACTATCTTCTCTGCCAGCTGTTGAAGAATTATTGGCTAGAACATCACGTGGCAGAGTCTATAGACCCTGGGATAATAATTTTGCTGGGATGTAGTACATTGTCTCACACATGTGCTCAGATAGCCACCTTCCCACTGACCCTTATCAGAACTCGCATGCAGGTTCAAGGTGAGTTTTTTTATTTTATTTTTTTAATGAAGTAATCAGTTAAAAAGTGATTAAGAATAACTTTAATGAAGTACTAATAAAAATTAAGTTAAAAACATTTTAAAATAACTAGATTGTTTTAAATAAGTAGAAATTAAGGATGTAAAAAAAAAAACCCAGAAAAACTGGAGAATTGATAAATCAAAAGCAGACTCTGATTTTTAAGGCATGCATCTTGAATTTATTATTTTATTATAGAGCCTTTTGTTAATTTTAGATTTTATTCTTCTCCAAAGTTCTGTTTGGGACTTTCCACATTTCCTTCAGTTACTAATGATCTCTTTAAGGAGTTTATGATTAGGAAGTACCATGACGAGCAATAGAAAAGATTTTGCTTTCTTCAAATTAAGTCAACAGTTACTCAGTATGAACATGCAGTTTCGCCCCTAGTTCTGCTCTCGTTGTTATATTCTGCATCAGGAACTTAATATAATACATTTGTGGAATTGGATTTGTATTGCAATCCCCCTAGCAAGGAGATATTAAGCAGAAGGGAGGGTATCTGTTTTGTTCTCTCAAGTGAAATGTTAGAAATAAAATACCTTTATCACTTTTTCTTTTTCTTTTTTTTTTTTTTTAAAGATTTTATTTATTTATTTGACAGAGAGACACAGCGAGAGAGGGAACACAAGCAGGGGGAGTGGGAGAGGGAGGGAGAAGCAGGCTTCCCGCAGAGCCGGGAGCCCGACGCGGAGCTCAATCCCAGGACGCCGGGATCATGACCTGAGCGGAAGGCAGACGCTTAACCGACTGAGCCACTCAGGCGTCCCCCTTTATCACTTTTCAAGAAGAGGAAAAAAAACCTTACATAATTCTATTATTATCTTCCTCAGTAAATTATTTAAGGAGTCATGTGGTGATACTCTTTTACATTTTCTCCTCTTTTTAGTAAGATTTTCAGATTTAATTTATATTGCAATCCAGGTGGGGCATCTCTGTATCTATCCCATCACCCATTAATTGCCCTATCAAAGTATTTGTGTCATACCCAATTCCAAATACTCCTTTGAGGTCCCTTATGAAAGACTTTCAAGTATTGTCCAGTAGAATTTACAATGATGGAAATATTTTATATCTGTGTTGTCTAGTATGGTAGCCAATAGTGACACATGGCTATCAGACACTTGAAATGTGGCTAATTCAACTAAGAAACTGAATTTTTAGTTTTACTTAATTTTACTTATTTTAAATTTAAATAGATACAAGTGTCTAGTGGCTACTATATTGGACAGCACAAGACCATTCTATAAGTAGGGAGAGAGGAATATTCTAAAGTAATTTTAGCCTCTGTAATTCTCATTAATCATTGGACTGTCTTAATGTACAAAGATTAAATATTGAATTACACTGATTTTTTTTCAATTTATAGCACTGGAAGAAAAAGGAACAACAACTTCTATGTTTCATCTCATTCAAGAGATATTTAACAACGAAGGAAAAAGGGGATTTTTCAGGGGTCTTACCCCAAACATCATAAAGGTGCTTCCCGCAGTAGGCATCAGCTATGTAGTTTATGAAATAGTGGGATAACATTTGGGATTAATTTAAAAGTGAAATATCAAATTGTTATCATTACCAAAATCACTTAATTGTAAGATAATACCTGGCTTGTAAAGAGAAATTTGTCTTTTCCTAAAAGGAAAGACATATCAAATAATTGTTAAAACATTTTTTCTTTATCTATTACAAAATTTATAAGTTAAATAATCATTTTGGTAAAGTTCTTTAATAATTTAAAATCCTTAATATCCACAGAATTCCATTTACATTTCCCACTACTCTCCCTTGAATCTTAACTTGAAACTTCTTTTTATTGGGTTTGGATATACCATGGTAACATTATAAAACATTTGGCCAGTTGTAGCTGCTTGTGTTAACCTTTTTCTATTTAAATAATTTTTTGAAAAGCTGAGCTTGAAAATGTTTTATACACTAAAACAAAAATCACTGCATTTAAAATCACTGTTACAGCAAATGATCACAGTTTCTCTTTTTTAAGCAAAATGGAACGTTGGTTTCCTAATTTCTTCATAGTTCCTTCTATCAGATTCTGGATGGAATAATGATAGCATGATAACCTATTTCTTCTCTGGCTACTTTACTTGTAAACATAAACATTCTTGGTTCATTTTTATTCTTGATATTTTTGGCTGTGATAAGGAAGTCAGTACTAAGAACAAATCAGCACTGGACAAATTTTCTTTTTATCTTCTGATTGAAAACATTTGAGAGGAAGAATTTTAAAGATTAAATCCATTATTTCATACTTGTCAAAGCAATTCTTTTTTTTTATGTTCAGTTAGCCACTGTATAGTACATAATTAGTTTTTGATGTAGTGTTCAGTGATTTCATTAGTTAAGTGTAACACCCAGTGCTCATCACAGCACGTGCCCTCCTCAGTACCTCTCACCCTGTCATCCCCTCCCCACCCCCCTCCCCTCTGAAACCCCCAGATTGTTTCTCCAGTGTCCATAGTCTGTCATGGTTCATCTCCCTCTCTGATTTCTTCCCCTTTGGATTTCCCTCCCTTCCCCTATGGTCCTCTGTGCTACTGCTTATGTTCCACATATGAGTGAAACCAGATGATAATTGTCTTTCTCTGCTTGACTTACTTAACATAATCCCCTCCAGTTCTATCCATGTCGATGCAAATGGTGGGTATTTTGTTTCTGATGGCTGAATAATACTCCATTGTGTATATGTACCACATCTTCTTTATCCATTCATCTGTTGAAGGGCATCTCGGTTCCTTCCACAGTTTGGCTAATGTGGACATTGCTGCTATGAACATTGGGGTTCACGTGTCCCTTCTTTTCACTACGTCTGTATCTTTGGAGTAAATACCTAGTAGTGCAATTGCTGGGTTGTAGGTTGTAGCTCTATTCTTAACATCTTGAGGAACGTCCACACTGTTTTCCAGAGTGGCTGTACCAGCTTGCATTCCCACCAACAGTGTAAGAGGGTACCCTTTCTCCACATCCTCGCCAACATTTGTTGTTTCCTGTTTTGTTAATTTTTGCCATTCTAACTGGTGTATGGTGGTATCTCATTGTGGTTCTGATTTGTATTTTCCAGATGGCTAGTGATGTTGAGCATTTTTTCATGTGCCTGTTAGCCATTTGTATGTCTTTTTTGGAGAAGTGTCTGTTCATGTCTTCTGCCCATTTTTTGACTGGGTTATTAGTTTTTTGAGTGTTGAGTTTGAGAAGTTCTTTATAGATCTTGGATATCAGCCCTTTATCTGTAATGTCATTTGCAAATATCTTCTATTTCGTGGGCTGCCTCTTAGTTTTGTTGACTGTTTTCTTTGCTGTGCAGAAGCTTTTTATCTTGACGAAGTCCCAAAAGTTCAGTTTTGCTTTTGTTTCACTTGCCTTTGGAGATGTGTCTTAAAAGAAGTTCCTGTGGCCAATGTCAAAGAGGTTACTGCCTATGTCTTCCTCTAGGATTTTGATGGAGTCCTGTCTCACATTGAGGTCTTTCATCCATTTTGAGTTTATCTTTGTGTATGGTGTAAGGGAATGGTCCAGCTTCATTTATCTATATGTAGCTGTCCAATTTTCCCAGCATCACTTATTGAAGAGACTGTCTTTTTTCCATTGGATATTTTTTCCTGATTTGTCAAAGATTAGTTGACCATAGAGTTGAGGGTCTATTTCTGGAGTCTCTATTCTGTTCCATTAGTCTATGTGTTTGTTTTTGTGCCAATACCATGCTGTCTTGGTGATCACAGCTTTGTAATATAGCTTGAAGTTAGGCAATGTGATGCCCCAGCTTTGTTTTTCTTTTTCATCATTCCCTTGGTGATTCGGGGTCTTTTCTGGTTCCATACAAATTTTAGGATTTTTTGTTTCAGCTCTTTGAAAAATGCCAATGGTATTTTAATAGGGATATAATTGAAAGTGTAAATTGCTCTGGGCAGGATAGACATTTTAACCATGTTTATTCTTCCAATCCTTGAGCATGGAATATTTTTCCATCTTTTTGTGTCTTCCTCAATTTCTTTCATAAATGTTCTGTAGTTCCTAGAATATAGATGCTTTACCTCTTTAGTTATGTTTATTTCTAGGTATCTTAATGGTTTTTGTTGCTATTGTGAATAGAATTGATTCCTTAATTTCTCTTTCTACAGTTACGTTGTTAGTGTATAGAAAAGCAACTGATTTCTGTGCATTGCTTTTGTATCCTGCCACATTACTGAATTGCTGTATGAGTTCTAGTAATTTGGGGGTGGAGTCTTTTGGGTTTTCCACATAAAGTATCATGTCATCAGTGAAGAGGGAGAGTTTGACTTCTTCTTTGCCAATTTGAATGCCTTTTATTTCTTTTTATTGTCTGATTGCTCAGGCTAGGACTTCTAGTACTATGTCAAACAATAGTGGTGAGAATGGGCATCCCGGTCATGTTCCTGATCTTAAGGGAAAAGGAGAGCTTTTCCCCCTTGATAATGATATTCGTTGTGGGCTTTTCATAGATGGTTTTTATGATATCAAGGAATGTTCCCTCTATCCTTATAGTCTGAAGAGTTTTAATTGGGGACAGATGTTGTATTTTGTCAAATGCTTTTTCTGCATCAATTGAGAGGATCATATGGTTCTCGGCTTTTCTTTTATTGATGTGCTCTACCACATTCATTGATTTATGAATGTTGGACCACCCTTGCATCCCAGGCATAAAACCCACTTGGTCGTGGTGAATAATCCTTTTAATGTACTGTTGGATCCTATCAGCTAGGATCTTGTTGAGTATTTTGGTATCCATGTTCATCAGGAATATTGGTCTGTAATTCTCCTTTTTGATGAGATTTGCCTGGTTTGGGGAACAGGGTAATGCTGACCTCATAGAAGGAGTTTGGAAGTTTTCCTTCTGTTTCTATTTTTTGGAACAGCTTTGGTAGAATAGGTATTATTTCTTTTTCTTTCTTTTTTCATATGTATATTTTTTCTTTTTTCATATGCACATTCAGAATTTTTATTTCAAAACAAAGAATCACAGTAACATTAATAATAGAAAACCCATTTGGAAATATTCACAATCTGGTCACTGAGAAATGGGAAAACTTCCACACAGCATTACTGCCAACCCACTGGTTTTGAGGAACCAGAAGTAGAGGTGCAGTTAAAGTCACCTGTTGAACCAAGCCCCATTCCATATAAGCTGTTTTTTCCCCCAAAACGCTCAATGACCGGGGGAACAGTGACAACTGGTGACTAAAATATTGTCATAGGCAAGGGTTTGGCTAAAAGGTCTGAAGTATGTAAGCACCAAGGAGAGAAAGGCTGATCAAGCAACATATGAAAGAAGGAAGACAGAGTAGGTGTCATGGGGCCCAATCTCCATTTATAAAAATACTGGGAAACTAGATGATTGTACAGGTGTCCATGACCTGGGGCAAGTGTACATCCCTCCACCTCATCTGGCTCTCTAAAATGCTCCAGAGTTAGAAGTCTTCAGTTTGTTTCTCACCCCTTAAAAGAAAGGCTCCTTCTCCCCTACGACTTCCCTCCAAGAGGCCACATGTTCTGATCTCACATTTTCCTTTCATACTGCCATTGTCTGGGTCTAGGGGGAAGCAGAGTCCTCCACCCTCAATCTCACGATTTAAGGAGTTCTCCCCCCAGTTGTCCAACAAGGAAAGGTAGCCAAATGCGTCTGAACTCTGAAGTCTGGAATGAAACAGATGCAAATTCCACCCAGCAGAGGCAGTGTTCTTTATATAGAGAGAGATGAGTTTGAACACATTCTATTCAAAAGGGGGCTGTAGGTACATAAAGGACACAAGTTACCAGCCATCTACTTCCACCAGAGCAAAGTGACAGTGCACATACATTCATACTCTCTCAAGTGTGGGCTACCCTGCACATTTACTCATATTATCCCAAATGTATGGTCCCCTAAGGGCACTTGACATCATACTATGCGAATATGGCAACAGAACAAGCATGTGATGACCTTTAGCAACAACATACTTCAACTAGATAATAATCGTTCAGGAAAAATCCTCTCCCAGAGCTGAGGTTACAAATTCCAAGTTAGTTTATGAACATTCTCCTTTGAATTCTTTTAAAGCTATGGCTTAAAACAAAATATCAACAACTAAAATCTCCTAAAGAACAAAATGGAGAAATACAGAACCTCTACCAAGAATCACTATTTTGGGTTCCTCATTTGGAAGGCTCTCCCACCAGGCGGGTATTAGGAATACTTTAACCCCCACCCCCTGCAGTGAGTCCACTATAAGGGGAAGAAGTTGTTTTGTCCAGTGAGGGGAGAAAGGATATCTAGAAATAACCTTCCCTTCTCTGGACTCCAACCAAAATTAGAACCCATCCACCACCATTAGCTATAATGCCCATTTTAATAACCCTAGATTTCAAGTAACACTACATATAATTTTAAACAAAGAAAAAAGTTCTAAAGGTAACCAGTAGCTTCTTAATACAGGCACATCACTTTTCTGAGAAATTAAACTTGAGAGTTTCCACCTGAAGGTTAAGAGGCAATGTGCAAAGTTCACACACCCCATCATGTACCCTCTGAGAACACATTATACTTCTCCCTGAATCTTCCCCTTATTGCACCTCGACCTCTCCAGTATCAAATCTTCTACCCTAGAACCTCTCTTCAAGCACCTCCCTCTATCCTCAATTTCCTTCTGTTTTCATTATTTGGTAAAATTATTTTACACTTAAAAGAATAAATATTTATGCAATAAAACCAGAAGATAAAATAAATAAAACTCAAGTTAATTTGCTCTGCAGAGCTGTATGGAAGCGAGGACAGTGCTCTTATTTAATCCCTCTCTGCCCTCCACACTCATAGATCTGCTTCCTGGGAAGTCTGGGGTCAGGGAAACTGCACCTCACTCTTACTCCCCTCCCATATTGGCCCTGGTGAGGCCCTATTAGAACCCAAGGGAGGAAGAGATGACAATGCTGTCAGATGGCAAGTGGCCAATTCCTCCTGAAATGAAGGTAGGTTTGCTTGGTCTCTCCTAAACAGAAGAGAATGTCCAAGAAATGAAATTTTTCAAAAGCCATTGAAGATACAACTAACTCCTGCACTGGGTTCCTCTGAGTGCTCATGGAGTGTGTGGGAAGAGAAAGGAATCAAGTAGCAGCATTCAGAAACAGTCCTGGGTTACAAGCTGATGAGGTCTCTCCCTCATCTGGGGAGAGGTTGCTTTTCCATGTTGGAAGGGAGGCGGGAAGGAGGCATGGCTTAGATGGTGGCAGTTTCCTTCATGGGCTGGATGCTGTTCATCTCCATGATGGGGCCTTTCTCAGCTCTGTTAGCCTCCCTCCCGAGCCTGCCCCTCGAAGGCTCATGTGATTTCCTCAAAAGTCCTGCCACGAGTCTCAGACTTTGAAGAAGGTGAAGACCAAGAAGAGTATGAGGAAGCCAGTGAATATGATAAAAACATAGGCTCCTAAATAGAATGCAGCTGAAGGGAAGAGGAACCCAACCAGGAAGTTGGAGGTCCAGTTGGAACAACCAGCCACTGCCATTGCAGCTGGGCGGGGTCCTTGGCTGAAGAGTTCGGCCACGATAAACCAGGGAATGGGGCCTGGGCCAATTTCAAAGAAGGCCACAAAGACCGAGATAGCCCTGATACAAACAAAGCTCATCCAATTATAGCCATCCTTTAGTAACAATGACATGGTCATAAAGATGGAACAAACAGCCATCCCTCCAAGGCCAGTCATATGTAGAGTCCTCCTCCCTGCCCTTTCTACCAGAAACAGAGAGACAACAGTGAAGATGGTATTAACTACTCCCTCACTGATGGTGGCACAGATTGGCTCCGAACACCTGCATCTTTGAAGATTCCTGTTGAATAATAGAACACAGAATTGATTCCAGACAGCTGCTGGAACAGCTGGAGCATGATGGAAATCATAATGGGCTGCTGGTAGCTGCGTGATCTGAAGAATTCCAGTACTGTGGCTTGCTTCTCTTATGCCATCCTCGTGCTCTCATCTTTCATCTCCTGGATGTCCTGAGTCACGTCCTGGGTGCCCCACAATTGCTGGAGGATCTCCCTAGCACTCTCCTCTTCCTTTCTGTTGATGAGCAAAAATCTAGGACTCTCGGGGCAAAATGGAAGAGCTGCGCTTTGCAGGACAGCTGGAATGATGGTGAAACCCAAAAGCAGGGACCAAAGCTCTTCGGTCCCCATGATGACTTTCAGACCAAAGATCTGAGCCACCAGGATCCCGATGACGATGCCCAGCTGGTTGAGAGTGCCAAAGGCCCCCCGTAGGGCAGTGGGAGAGACCTCGTCAGTGTATGTGGGCACAAAACCTGTGCAAAGGCCACAGAAGAGGCCAATAACCAACCGGCCCAGGATCAGCATTCCAACCGACTGGGCTATTTTGCAGAACCCCATAAGGCAGCCACCAGCGATAGCCAAGAGGTTGACAATGAGCATTGAATTGCGCCTGCCAAAGCGGTTGACAAAGAGTCCAACGGAGAAGGAGCCAATCATACCACCAATGGAGAAGATGGCCACAGACAAGGACCCAAGGGAAGTGAGTAACACCTCAGTGGGACGGTCATTCAACGTCTCCTCCTGGGTGTAATTGAGAAAGTCCTTTATGGTCATCTCAGGAGCATTGATGACTCCGGTGTTGTAGCCAAACTGGAAAGAGCCTATTGTAGCAATGGAGATGGCAAAGATCAGAGGCACTGTGACCTTCTGTGTCCTCATGGCCCTAAACAAAGATCTAGGAATGGGAATCCCAGAGACACCTCTTCCAGTCAACAAAGCTTCCAAAATGTTCTTCTCAGCAGCAAGTTTTATTCCTGATGCCCAGGACCGATGCTTATCTCACCCTCACTGGTATTATTTCTTCTTTAAATGTTTGGTAGAATTCCCCTGGGAAGCCATCTGGCCCTGGACTTTGGTTTTTTGTGAGATTTTTGTTTACTGCTTCAATTTCATTACTGGTTATTGGTCTATTCAGATTGTCTCTTTCTTCCTGTTTCAGTCTTGGTAGTTTGGAAGTTTCCAGGAAGACATCCATTTCTTCCAGGTTGCTTAATTTGTTGTCATACAGTTGCTGGTAATAATTTCTAACAATTGTTTCTATTTCCTTGGTGTTAGTCGTGATCTCTCCCCTTTCATTCATGATTTTATTAATTTAGGTCCTTTCTCTTTTCTTTTGGATAAGTTTGGCCAGTGGTTTATTGATCTTATTAATTCTTTCAAAGAACCAGCTTCTAGTTTCATTGATCTGTTCTGCTGTTTTTCTGGTTTCTATTTCATTGATCTCTGCTCTAATCTTTATTATTTCTCTTCTCCTGTTTGGTTTAGGTTTTATTTGCTGTTCTTTCTCCAGCTCCTTTAGGTGTAGGGTTAGCTTGTGCATTTGGGATTTTTCTAATTTTTTGAGAGAGGCTTGGATGGCTATGTATTTCCCCCTTAGGATTGCCTTTGCAGTATAGGTTTTGGACTGATGTGTTTTTGTTCTCATTGGTTTCCATGAATTGTTTAAGTTCTTCTTTAATTTCCTGGTTGACCCATTCATTCTTCAGCAGGATGCTCTTTAACTTCCAAATGTTTGAATTCCTTCCAAATATTTCTTGTGATTGAATTTCGGTTTTAAGGCATTGTGGTCTGATATCATGCAGAGAATAATCTCAGTCTTTTGGCATTGGCTGAGACCTGATTTATGACCCAGTATGTCATCTATTTTGGGGAAAGCTCCATGTGCATTTGAGAAGAATGAGTATTCTGTTGTTTTAGCATGGAATTTTCTGTGTATATCTACGAAGTCCATCTGGTCCAATGTGTCATTCAAAGCTCTTGTTTCTTTGTTGATCTCCTGTTTGGATGATCTGTCCAGTGCTGAGAGTGGAGTGTTAAAATCTCCTACTATTAATGTATTATTGTTGATCTGATGCTTTATTTTGGTTAACAGCCAGCCTATGTAGTTGGCTTCTCCCATGTTGGGGGCATAGATATTTACAATTGTTAGATTTTTCTTGTTGGATAGACCCTTTAAGAATGATATAGTGTCCCTCTTGATCTGTTATTACAGTCTTTGGGTTAAATTCTAGTTTGTCTGATATAAGAATTGCTACCCCAGCTTTCTTTTGAAGTCCATTGGCATGAAAAAAATGCCCTCACTTTCAGTCTGGAGGTGTCTTTAGGTTCAAAATGAGTCTCTTATAGACAGCATATGGATGGGTCATGTCTTTGTATCCAATCTGCAACCCTGTGCCATTTCATGGGGGCATTTGGGCTATTCACATTGAGGGTTACTACTGAAAGACATGTGTTTCTTGCTATCCTATTGTCTGTACAGTCCCTGTTTCTATGGATTGTCTCTGTAAATTTCTGGTCCATATAACTCTTGGGGTCTTTCTTCTTTTATAGAATCCCCCTTAGTATTTATTGCAGGGCCAGCTAGGTAGTCACATATTCTTTCAGTTTCTGCCAGTCCTGGAAGCTCTTTATCTTTATCTCTCCATCCGTTCTGAATGACAGCCTTGGCGGGTAAAGTATTCTTGACTGCATGTTCTTCTCATTTAGTACCCTAAGCCCTTTCTGGCTTGTCAGGTCTCTGTGGACAGGTCTGATGTTATTCTGATGTTCCTCCCTCTGTACTTAAGGAATCTCTTCCCCCTACCTGCCCTTAGGATGGTTTCCTTGGTTCTAAGATTTGTGAGTTTTACTATTACATGCCAAGGCGTTGGTCTGTTCCCCATGATCTTGGGAGGGGTCCTCTCTGCCTCTAGGACACAAATGCTTGTTCCATTCCCCAGATTAGGGAAGTTCTCAGCTACAATTTGCTCAAATATATCTTCTAGTCCTCTCTCTTTCTCCACCCCCTCAGGGATCCCAATAATTCTGACATTGGAACGTTTCATAGCATTGTTGATTTCTCTAAGTCTGTTCTCACGGATTCTAAGCTGTTTGTTCCAGGCTTCCTCCTGTTTGTTCTTTCCTTTCTATCAGTTTATATTCTAGATCACTAATTCGTTCTTCTGCCTCATTTATCCTAGCTGTTAGAGTATCTAATTTAGACTGCAGCTCATTCATAGCATTTTTAAGTTCAGCCTGATTAGCTCTCATTTCTGCCCTTAGAGATTCTATGTTGCTGATAATGGTTTTCTCAAACCTAGCTATTGTCTTCATGATTGTTACCCTGAAGTCTGTTTCAGACATCTTGCTTATATCCATATCCATTAGGTCTGCGGGAGAAGCCATTGTCTCTGGTTCTTTTCTTTGTTGGGAGTTCCTCCTCCTAGTCATTCTGTTGAGTGGTTGTTGAGGGGGTGTACAGAGTCGAAAATATCAACCACAATCCAGGCAAGGTGCACCCTGGAAAGTGTGGAGCTATCAGAAGCCACCACCAAAAAAACCCAGCCAAATGAAACCCAAGAATAAGATTTATAAAGTTCAATAAAGGGGGGGGCAGGGAGGAAGGTAGGGCTATAATCTCTCAATGTGGGCGAGGTAGGGTGTTTCAGTTCTTCCTAGGTATATTTTGTTTTCTTTGTAAGAGAGCACTACTTCCCAGAGTTACAGGGAGATTAAAACTGGTATATATAAAGGTAGTATTGAATAGGGAAAAAAGGCCTGCATTAAAGCGTATATCTCTATATATGTATATAAAAAGAAAAAAAGTGTATGTGTGAAAAAATACAAGTTAAAAAGTTACGATGGAATATGTTGTACTAAACATCTAGTTGAAATAAGTAGGTAAAAAGAAAAAACAGAGAAGAAACATGAGAAAAAATAAAAAAAAAGTTGTATCTAAGAAATATACAGGCCATGAGGCAACACCAGGAGCTCAATATACTCTTCCCCCTGGTGTGGGGGTTTTACAGTTTTATGGGGACCCTCGGGTTGTTCTCCTCTTGTTCTTCCAGCTTGTCTTCTGGGGGAGGGGCCTGCCACGTTGTTTTTCAGCCAATCCTGCTGGGGCGGAGTTGCCCTGCCCCCTTATCAAGGGGCTGACTCCATGGAAACCGGTGTTTTGGGCTTTTGTTCTCTGGCTGCTTTTCCGCCTTTTGGGAGGGTCAGAGCAAAGGAAGATGTCTGTACCCAGACCTCCGCCCCAAAGGAGAGAAGCCACAGTCAGCTCCTCTCTGAATCCTCCAGAACACACAGTCTCCCCCTCTGTAAGCGCCCCTGAAAACCGCAGCCTCCCACAGGTGGTGCACGCCCCCAGCGATCCCCCCAGCAGTGGACCCAAGCCCCTGCTTGTCTCTGCCCCCTGTGCCTCCAAAACCGCGAGCGATCCGGATCTGGGTGGGCACTGGTGCGGGCAGTGGTGGCGGTGGGGCCCCCAGGTCTGCAGGCTCAGGTCCGCATGAGGGGATGCCTGGGTCTAGGCTTTCCCCCCTTAAGCCCCTGTGTTCTGTTGGAGTGCTGTTATCAAGCTCTTCCAGTCCAGCCCACAACGCTCTGCAAGCTATCGCTGGTCCCCAGGCACACAACGCTTTTGCATTGGGGTATTAGTTTCCAGTGGCCTTTGTACCTCTCAAATGATGATCCCCTGCCCCTGTAGAGATCCAGACGTATAATCTTACATCTCAGGCTGATTTCGTGGGTGTTCAGGATGGCTCGGTAGATATCTAGCTAACTTCAGGGGACTGGTTGAAACGGAGTCCCCCACTCCTCCGCCACCTTGTGCCTCTGTGGAAGGAATTCTTATTTCAGCTTACGAGTTGATTGAGTCAGCCCTTGGAAGTCCTAAATATTTCTTTGCACTGTTATGAAAAAATGAATCCTGTTCTCTGCTGGAATTAAACGAGAGTGTGGGGAGGTGATGGTAATGGGTTGAGTTGGCCACCAACAGATTTCAAATGAACTGCCTCACTAAACTGACTCAAGTGCAGGCTTTGAGTCTTGGCCTTGCTGATTCCAAAATTTGACTTTATTAATTTCCTCAAGATGATCAGTTTCTTGGTTATAGATTAATTAAAATTACAAGATTGAGATACATATCACAATGCAAAGTTATTAATTTATAGTGGAGCTTAATACTTGCCACTCACCAGAATACTTTCATTCCTTCTCCAGGGCACACTGTTTGCTGGTATCAGGGTACCTGGGAAACCAAATAAGTCATGAGAAGATTGATGTGGAATTAGGACAAAGAGAGGAATGTTTTACTCAGACCCAGTTAAGGTGGGAGTAAGTGGAACCTTGTGTACAAGGAAGAGTAGTTGAGGCGTGAGGTGTAAGAGAGGAGAGGATTGTGGAACGTTAGCTAAACTAAGCCACAGATCACCAGAGGGGAGGAAGGCAAATCTCATGTGAAGTCCAGGAGTAGGTGTGTAAGAAACTTGAGTAATTGGGGCGCCTGGGTGGCTCAGTTGTTAAGCGTCTGCCTTTGGTTCAGGTCATGATCCCAGAGGCCTGGTATGGAGCCCCGCGTCGGGCTGCTTGCTCGGCGGGAAGCCTGCTTCTCCCTCTCCCACTCCTCCTGCTTGTGTTCCCTCTCTTGCTGTCTCTCGCTCTGTCAAATAAATAAAATCTTAAAAAAAAAAAAAAAAGGAAACGAGTAATGGTGGTAGTTGTTTGGATAGACTTTCACAATGCATTCCAAATTGATGAGATCACTTGAGTACTAACACGGAAATGGGGGGGGACCCAGAGTGGAGGGGTGATTTGTGGAGCATTAGGGAAATGACAAGTATCCTGGTCATTTAAAAATGTATGGTGTAGAGGAAGAAACAGTGAGATATGAGGGTACTGCTATAGATTGGTGCCAGGTCATGGAGAGCTGTGAGTTACATGTGTTAATGACATGCTCTGGTGTAAGAAGATAACTGATGACAGAAGAAAGCC